CCTCTTATATGACATTTTGTATAACCCTGAGGATCGCCTTCCATTTTAACCCAAATAGTTATATCTTAGAATAACAGTTTTAAAAGTAACTGCTTGGCTGGGCGTGGTGGCCCACCTCTGTAATCCCAGTGGCTCAGAAGACTGAGGGAGGAAGATCATGAATTCAAAGCCAGCCTCAGCAAATTAGCAAGGCCCTAAACAACTCAGCAAGACCATGTCTCTAAGTAAAATATAAAAAGGGGCTGGGGATCCAGCTCAGTAGTTAAGCACCACCGGATTCAATCCCTGGTACCAATAAATAAATAAATAAATAGATGTAACTTTTCATTCTGTTATAACAAAATCCTATAGAACAGATGGTTAAAGCAAGCATTTATTTCTCACAGTTTGGGAAGCTAAGAATTTCAAGATCAAGGTGTTGGTAGACTTGGTTCTAAGCCCTCTTCCTGGCTTGCTGACTTGCACTCATATCTTCACATGGTGAAGGGAGGGAGAGAGAGAGAGAGTGAGCACATCTAAAATGTTCTCTTCTTATAAGAAACACTGATTCCATCTGAAGGAGCCCATTCTCATGATTTCATTTAAACCTAATTATCCCTCACCAAGTACCATGACATTGGACATACGGTATTAGCATAACTATTTCAGAGAGACACAAACATAACACAGTCCATAATAATCTGTGTGCAGGCATCATATTCTCCTTTTTGACTTCTTTCTTTTATGTCTCTTCCAAGGAGCTCARTGTCTCAACCTTCCCACTGCCTGAGTGCTCTTCATCCCTGCGCTCATTCTACCTGGCTTGAGCAGTAACTGGGACGTTTGAAAGCAAAGCTTTCTATGGGATAAGCACAGTTCCTTTTGCTGTATAGATCAATAATCGTTTGGGAAGTGAGGCAGAAGGCAGACTGCAGTAAAATTTCAAGGGCAGGCTGAAAGTAAGGTCAAGAAGCCATGTACTTACTGTCACGGGACATTGGCCACAGACTCTAACAGACACTAGCCTTAAGTCACAGGATGTGAGCACACCTACATTTCTGTGAGCACATAGCAAAATCACATTTGGTAGATTTGATGCTGCTGTCTCCTTTCCTCACCCCAGCATCCTTCCTTTTTTAATTGTGGCACATCTGGCTACTTTTACTAACATTATGAGACAACTACAAACTTCTGTCTTTAATAAACTTTATCTGTAATGGAAAAATTCAACTTTCAAGATTTTAAGGTGGAGAAATGTAATTAAGGACGCTAATAGGTGACARAGAGTCGAAAAGGAGTGAAAGAGGCAGAGAAAGATAGATGGAAGGAAGAGGAGAACTGGTGGGAGGGAACATGATAGAGAAAGAAGGAATAGGAAAGAGGAGGAGGAATGAAGGAAGGCATGTATGGTTAACTGAGAACACTGAATGACAATTTCCTCTATTTCCCTTGTCCTGCCCCTATTTCAAGGACTGCTAGTGATATAAGAATGGAGAGGTTTTAATTTGATAAAGAACTTACAATTAATTTTAAAAGCAAGTCAAGGTTAAAAACTAGGCAAAGGATCATTGAGCAAATACTTCTTTTACACAGATTTTTATCATCTCTTCTGGTCAAAGAGAATACTCAAAGATAAACCACTCATCCCATTGTCAAATAAAATTACGGGAGGTCATATATTTGGACATGGCTCCGGCACTAGGCCCCAGAAAACTGGTAAAGTTTTCTTTAAAACTTTACCAGTTTAAAAACATAAAACTGGTAAAGTTCCATGCTAAAGTTCCACGTCACAGAGCTGAAACTAAGATGTTCATCTGGGCTTCTGAGACATCCAGAGACGCATGATAACCAAAGCCCCAAAGCGGCAGTTGTTGGGCAGCATGAGGTGAAAGTCCCCTCTGCATTAACCCTTCCATGGAAAGAAACCTGAAGAATCCTGGTGTGAACCAATCCTTTTCCTATYGTGGTTCTTCCTCATTCCTGCTCAAATTACTTCATGAAAATGGACAGCTATGCCATGCCAGGTGAGTGCTTGTCTAAATCTTTAGATGGGATATTGCCAGATTAATTAATGGTGAATAAAATTCAATTAAATCTGTTTGTTGAAATTTTGTCATTAGACATTTTGGATAATTAACTAGGATGGATAAGTGTCAGTAAGTCATACATTTCATAGTATCAACCATTATTCTTAGGGATCAGAGGTTCCTCTGAAGAAGAGGGCAGGCAATGCTGTCGATGTCTTCATTCGCCCTGCAGCTAGCTGCTCCTTTCTAAGTGAAATCTAAAAGCTCCTTAACAATCCTACCCACATTCACTTTGCCTTTGCAGTTCTTCCTCAGCCCAGTAGCTCTTCAAAAATTCAAATGCTTTCATGCCATTGCTATGCTTAAAGCCCATTAGTACTCCAGTTGCCCCTATTATAGAGTTGAACCCCATATCAAGACTCCTATGACAGAGTCTACACCCGCTGTGTGCCAAGACTTACAGAAAGTCACGTGATAAGCTGTTCATTCCTTTAACCCATCAGGTGCCACTTCAACCCTCCCCCAGAGAGCTGCAGTCACAATAGCTTTCCATAAGTCCCAGAGCACTAGAGATTTTTCCACGCCCCAAGCTCTTTTTACTACATGCTGCTCACGTACTTACCTCTGTGCATCACGTGGAGATGGATAGCTTCTTCTCACCCTTAAGTCTCACCTTAAGTGTTTCCTAACAGGCTTCCTTTGACCACCTGATTAAAATTGAAATCCTTTTCTCTATTCTACTCCATTGCTCTCCAAAATAGAATACCTCTTTCATTCAAAGCACCTACTATTATTCTTGTTTGTATCATTCAAGGTTTACTTGGAGAAAGAGAAAGCTTGCCAGTTTATTCTAASAGAATTCAGAGAGATTTTGCAAAACAGGTACTGGACTTGTGCAATAAACAAAAAGGGGACACTGAGGTACCGCAGAGTTAGCAACTGCAGAAAGAAGTTATTACCACCCTCAGGACTGGGCATTTTCAGAATAGACTGAGGTGTCACTTGTCTCCTGCTGGTACCTCTGGAGCCTGCAAGGAGGTCTGAGAGCTAGTTCTCTGACTCTAAGGCAGGCTGCTGACTAGCTGGTGCTATACCTCCAGAAAGGTACATTGAAGCTGGTTCTAAAATATTAGAAGAAACTAGAAACTGTAAGCAACTGGTGATGCTGGTGTAACAGCAACTGGTATAACGGCAAGGGGGATCAGAAGTTCAAGTTCCTCTTGCTTCCTATTGCTTCCAGTCTTTCTTGTCACACTCCCCCATCAGCAGAGCCTAATATGGATACATCTGGCAAAAGATAAATGTAGTTTGCAGAGTCCCAGGTCAAGCAATTCATGGCAGCATATGAAAGCTTAGACTTAGAAAGAAGATATAATAGCATCATAATGAATGTAGTTATTTATTCATTGTTTTTTTTATTTCCTACTAGACAGTAGTGTGCAAGATTCACATCTTTTTACCATTGTAACAACCCCTCATCTGAATCCTCATGTGCATAGTACAATAAAAGGGAGATAGAAGATACTCAATAAATATTCCTTCCATAGATGAATAATGAATAGATTTATTAGGTTCTTTTCAAAACTACTTAGCAAAATGTACAATTCAATTCTTGTCAAGTGAACAAATAAGTAGGGACTCATATAATGGTTGTGAGGCTAAAATATGAACATGAAGCAGTTCCCTTCTATTTAGTGGGAATTTGAGATATTCTCATATGACTTTAAGTACTAAAATAACATATCCACCATTCATATTCATGTTTTAATACCAAAAGAATAGAGCAGGAAGCAAAACCTATAGGATGTTAGAAAACAAAAAGGTAAATGTAGCTTTGGGATTACTCAGAAGACTTGTGGAAGAAGTTCTAATCTGAGGCAGGCTAGAGAGAGCCATGGAGGAGATGAGTTTGCCAGGTTTTGAGATGATTCTGATGGATGCAGAGAAATTAGGGTTAGTAGGAGATGTTGTTGGAAAAGTAAGTGGGAACAAACTTTTCATAAAAAAATTATGAATGCAGGAGTTAGAATTATGAGCATTATGTCTTTTTTAAAGAGCAGCATTAAGAGGTTTTCAGCGAAGGTGTAATGCGGCCAGTGGGAATATTTTCTGTAGATAAATCTGGCAGCATCATGTGCAATTGATTGAGTGGGTAGAGACAGGAAGACCCAGAAGGAGACCGTGAAAATAATCCTAAATCAGAAAAAGATGGTGGAAGTAGAAACAAAGCAAAGACACAACAGATGATATTTAGAAGGAAAAAATCAATATACATGGTAAAGATTTAATCCCAGGAGAAGAGGGAAGAGAGGTTATTTAGAATGAATCTACAATCATGCATGTCGACAGGATCCATGGGGTGGACATAGAGAGACCACTGAATTTCATGAGAAGAACTTGGTCAATAAGCGCATCAGCACCATCAAAGTCCCGGTGCATATTTTATCCTCCAACAATGAAACTCAGTAGTTTTGAAAAGCTAATAGGAGTCAGGAAGAATGTAGATATCCTCATCTTGAGCTTCAGAGGCAGCAGGTTTCTGGAAGTTATAGTAGTCACAGGATGTCTCACTTCCATACATGTGCTCTTTGAAATTGATCTGCTGAGTGTTTTCGTAGAGTCCCTTGTCAGTTTCTTTGTTAGCTTCGGGAGGCCCCATTTCCACATTTTCATAGTTGGCCTGCATCCTAGTTCCCCTGACAGACGGTCTGTGGCTTTGGGTTTCAGCTGAGATTTTAGGCCTTGAGCCAACAATGTGAGGACTCAAGCAGAAGGTTTTTGCTAAGTCTTTTTTCCTGCTGTTTCTCCTTTGCAAAAACCTCGGTAAAGTAAATCTGGTGGTGTTTCGGTGTTTCCAGTGCCAAACACACCCAATCCCACAGACCACCAAGAGTACTAAAAGGGAAATGCCTACAGAAATGGCCACCGATGTGTTTCCACAGCTTTTTAACATTTCTGCACAAACAGTGTTGTTCAGGGGCTTGGGGTTGTCAGTAATAAACTCACAGGTACAGACAGATGTAATTCCAGACAGACTAGTACTGTTCAAAAATGAGATTGGAAGCTTTCTTAGGCATTTTTTTTCCAGATCCGAGAGAACGTTATCTGGCAGAGTCCTGATGCACCTAGAGGTGATATTGAGTAGACTTAGTTTTGAAAGATGGCTTTCTGTGTATTGGATGCTCTTCACATTACAGTCATTAATATACAATTGGACTGTATCAGGGGGGATTTTAATCCACTCCACTTTCTTTTCTATCAGTGGATCACAAAATGAAGCAGAAGTGAGTGGAAGATAACAGCACAGTAGAAAACTCAAGTAAATGAAGGTTATATTATTTGCCATCCAGAAACCTGTTGTAAATTAAAAAATGCATTAATTGCATAGTTAGCATGTAGCATAATCAAAACTCTATCACATCTACCAATGTAGTGTGTTCCTGATTGCAATATAGACTATACCAGTAGCTGTCGTTGGGCGAGAGAAGGTTTGAAGAACCCATTCTTGCCCAAGCCTGAGTGGCTTAATCACCCAGACTTCAACATGATTTTTAATGATCAAGATAATGACTTTCAAGTGAAAGACAACGTTTCACCTGCAGTAGGATAACGGGACAAGAGGATGTGTGTGATGGTTCCCATCATCTCTACCTTCTCTACGAAGCCTGCTCATCCCTCTTTCAAGTGGGCAGGGGTTGTCTTTCCTGATTCAGTCTTTCCACTGAGATCCCACATTAAGGAGTCAATAATCTGTTGAAACAAGATAACCTAAATGACAGACAATTATATGTCTTTCTACTTCATTAAGGGTGAGTAGGGATCAGCTCATTTTTTCTTTTCTTTTTTTTCTCTTTCATTCAGTAAATTTATTATTGATGATGTTTAAAATTATTTTTAATCTTTTATTGATTTTTATACTTATACAATAGCTCATAAGACACATAACACAAAGTGCACACACACAGCATTCAATCTATTTATTTATTTATTTTAATTTTTTATGGAACTGGGAATTGAACCCAGGGGTGCTTTACCACTGTGGTAAGTACCTAGCCCTTTTTATTTTATTTTTATTTTGAGTACTGGGGATTGGATCCAGGGGTGCTTAACCATAGAGCCACATCCCTAGCCCTTTTTTTATTTTGAGGCAGGGTCTCATTAAATTGCTTAAAGTCTTGTTATGTTGCTGAGCCTGGTCTTGAACTTGCTATCCTCCTGCCTCAGCCTCCCAAATTGCTGGGATTACAGGTGTGCTCCACCATACCTGGCTCAATCTATTTAATGAATGAAGAATTAAATATGAAAAATGACTAGAAAATTCAGGATCTAGTTGGTTAATTGCTTAAGACTCAAGATATGTCTTCTAAAATGTATATAATTTATACTTAAATATGAAAAGAGATCTTTGAAGTAAAACCTTTTATTTTGTAGTATGGGGAATCAAACTTAGGAACTTATACATGTTAAACAAGTACACTACAATTGAGCTATGTCCTAGCCCTTTTAAAATGTATTCATTTATTTTATTTTGAAATAGGGTCTTGCTAAATTTCCGAGGCTGACCTCAAACTTGTGATCCTCCTGCCTCAGCCTCTAGGCTTACAGGCTTATGACACTGCACCCAGCTTTTGCAAACCATCTTATCATCAATTTTCTTACACCTTTCAATGAGTTTCTTTCATTCAAGTAAGATAAATATAGAATTTTTTCTGCTGATGCTTTAAAATATCAAAGAAGAGAAACAGGAAGCATTCAACTAGGCTGAATATTCTATTATGATTTTATCAAGAAAATATTATTTCTATATATTTTCAGACTAGACAGAAATAGTTGCACATAATATTTCTAACAGTCCTTGTTGGGGTATTTATCATAATTTATTGAATCTCCTCATCACTCATATTTAATTAGTAGCATATTTTGAATCAGCCTATAAATATTTTATATAGACTTATCATTTAATTCTACAACTGCCATTTGAAGTGGTTACTATTGTTATCCTCATTTTACATATCATAAAACAAATGATTAAAAATGTTAAGCTATTTCATTAACAACTAAGTAGTGACTGAATCAGGAGTCAAATAAAATTTTCTTCCAAATATTACACTTAGCAAATATATGTAAATGGTTATCAATGGCATTGATCACTGTTTTTGTATAGCTTGATTAGCTCTTGATTCGCTCAGATTTCCAGATTAGAATATACCAATGTGCAAACCTTCCATATGATATTTCCTATAACCAAATTGAATATGACACATAATTAATATATAAAATTTATTTAATAAAATACTGCACCAAAACCCCAGGTCTAGATACCTTTATTTTTTTAAAATAGTTGTTCATGGACACAATACCTTTATCATATTTTATTTTATGTGCTGCTGGGGATTGAACCCAGTGCTTCATGCAAGTGCTCTATCACTGAGCCATAACCCCACCCCTGGATACCTTTTGATATCCTTGAAATTCTGGGGAGTACATTGGGATTAAGAATACATGATCACCATGTAAGGATTCCTCCTTTATGATGCCGGACACCAGGTTTGTGTTCAGGGTAAAAGTTTGTGAAATGTCTTTTACCATTAGGATCCCTTTTCCTTTGCAAAACTGATGAGAACTTATCTTAAGATATTCTGTGGTTCAAATGATTATTTATTTAAGCAATTATTTGCCAGACTATTTAACATAAATTTACAAAACAAATTTCAAATATTGATCAGAATTAACAAGTGTTTAAGGAGGTAAAGGCCTACCACAGAAATAGAGTCAGGGGTTGGGATAGCAAACTAATGTCTTGCTGGCAGCCAAAGATAAGGTAATAAATTGACCTTTCGATTTCAAAGAGGAGATGTATTTTTATCATCTGTGCTGTTCTATGCAGAGCAGACATTCCAGTACATTCCTAATATCAAGGTGTTCATTGAGATAAAGGCAAGGAGATTTTTTACGGGGGGTGGGGGGGGTGGGGGGAGCTTTTCCCTTTCTTCAAAATAACTTCATAGGGAAAAACTCAGAGAGACATAAACCCAGACCTATAATGAAAAACATGTTTCAAACAAGAGCCTTTCAAATATAACAACATCCACATCTCTTTAATTTTATCCTGCTCAAAGAAGACTTTTCATTTTGGAAAGCAGTTTCAACAGATTGCCTAATAATTATCCATTTGTCTTAAAAGTCACAAATTGTTGATAAACTGGAATTTAATGGGCCAGATACTGCCCCATTTGTTGGGAAGCAAGGCAAACACAGAAAAACACTCCAGGCACAGATCTATGAGCATATATGCATGTAAAAAAACATCAGCATCACTCCCAGCAGGTAATCTTGTTTCCCCCTATGGCCACCTGAAGCATTTTTTTTTTTTCTAAAAACAGTGTTGGATAAGATAAAAAGTCACTGCTGGGTTTAAAGTGAACCTGTTTCTCATCATTTTTCACTATCCAAACACCTTAGACAGGTTCTTCCTTACCTCAGGATTGGTGTGCTAGGCTCTCCCTTGTTCTGGCTGAGCTTCAAATGTGCTTCTGGTTTAGAACCTGTTCCTCTTTTTCTCTTGGGTCAGTTACTTCCTCCTTCACCTCCTCCTTTCAGAATATTTAATACTTGCAAAGTTTCCTGGCTCTAGAGGAAGTTCTTATCAGGTATGCCAAAATTAAGATAAACAGCACACATTTTTGAATAAGGAAGTCTGGTCCTTCATCTTTAACAGGCAATAACTTTTCAAGTAATCAGGAAAGGAAATCCATAAAGCCTCCTGTTTTTGAGCAATATTTGCAATTCTCAATTGACATTGTTTCATTTGTATTTCATTTTTTAAAAAGATTCTAAATGTAATACAACATAAGTCTTAGTTTTTTTTATTTCTTTATATGATTTCTAAAACAATCCTCATCTCAAATGTGATATTCCAATGTCCAAAACTTATGTCTGTCAAATTACTGTCTTAATTTTAGTTCAGAAATATCCCTGAACTATATGTCCCTTTAAATTTATTACAAGAGAAGTTTGCAAACTATATTCTGAGGCACACTACTTTAGGACATGCTAGTGGTCTCCTACAGAGTAGACTTGTGAAATACGGCTTCTGTGGATATTCACAGGCTCATCAGAACATGAAAGACCCTCAGCAGTCCTATAGGAAGCAAGCCAAGCCAAGCCAAGTAAGAGAACTAGTTAATTTTGCTGGAATAACTGTAATCAGTAAGGTTTTTTTTTTTTTAACACTTAACAAGTGTTCTACTAGGACTAAATCTTCAGCGGATTGCTCATGAAATCCTGATAACAGCCCTATGGGAGAAACACTGCTATTCGTCCCATTTTGGAGGAAAATGGAAGCAAACTGAAGTGAGGTAAAATAGTTACACTCCTATGCCAGCAGTTTGCCTCCAGCACCTTTGTGCTAAACCTCTCTGCTTGCTACCCTGCTAGACTGAGTAGTATGTTTCCCATATAGAATCTTTACTTAATTCCATCTCTCAGAGCCTGACTCCCTGCTACACCAAAATAGGAAATGCTGAATTAGATAGATTACAGATGAATTAAACAGTTCAGCTAGAAAAATTAATGGGAATATTGCCTTTTAAATTGTACCGGAACTTCTTCAACCATACACTTTTTATAAGGTGGTTTGAAAGAAGAGGATTTAGTGGTTGAAATGCCAATCTGACATTGGAAGAACAGTCCTATATGTAACTGACATTGTATGAGGCTTTAAGCAACATATTCACACTCACATTCCTTTGAGACTGAATAAGCACCCTGTAATATTAAAATGTAAGAGAAGCTGGGCAGATTGGCTCATGCCTGTAATCCCAGAGGTTCAAGAGGCTGAGGATTTCAAGTTCAGGTCAGGTTCAAGTTCAAGGTCAGCCACAACAATTTTGTGAGGCCTTAAGCAACTTAGCAAGACCTTATCTCAAAACAGAAGATAAAAAGGGCTGGATG